TCATCTCATCTCATGTTCTCTAGGCTGGTACTGGGCTTGCTCTGTTGGTATTACTGTTTTTAAACATATGCTTAAATCGAGCACACTGCTTCCTCTTGTATGATGTGGGTGTGACTGATGCCCTGTTATTATAGTTAATACTTCATGATTTTTAGCTATTCTTAACTACCTAAAGGTTAGCTCAGCAAGAATATCAGAAGTCATTTTCTTTGTTTCATCAGATGTTAACTTGGTTCTTTTCCCCCACATTAACTACTTGCTTCTTATGTTTTCTAACATGTCTTAGCCAGAGACCAATTGTTTTTTAGTACCATGTTTAGAGAGTGCTTACCAGGTTGTCTTCATTCTGTCCTTTTTTTTTATTTTTATTTTTTCTTAGGGCTTATAAAAAGGCAAATTATTCTCAGATGTTTTAAGTTTTCATAATAGTTACCTGATTTTATTTTGTTCTGCACTGTGTTGAACAGAGTATCTGTGCATTAGTTCTGTGTTTGCACAGATATTCTAGAAAGACATAAAGTGAAGCAGGCAGGACTACATTTTCAAAAATGAACTTCTTTTGGTCTGTCTTTTCCCTTTTTGAAATCTGCTTTCCTAAGGTAACTCTGTTTAAGCATCCCAGCACTTGTGTAATCTAAATTGATAATTATTGTTGAAAATATAAGGCGCAACACTGAAGTTTCTGGTCCAGGTCCATATCAAGCCATTCATAGAACAGTGAGCTCCTGATTCCTATACACTTCTTCTTATTATGCCTTTTCCTCCATTTTGTCATTAAGTTCAGGAAATATATATTTCACAAAATACACTGCTTCTCACTTCATATACATGAATGTTCTTGTCATCAAGTAATTAAAATAAGAAACTTTGTGAAGCAACAGGTAGGCAGAGTGGATAGAGGTAGTATTGCCTTACTTGTAGCAGCTAAGCCTGTAAATGATTAAACAATTACTGTCACTGCCAGGTTATTTTTTCAAGGTTGTGGTGTTGGTTACTCAGTGCTTTGAGGTGAACAAATAGGAATGGAATGGGACTACAGAGTTAATAACAGGACTGATTTGTACACAATGTGAATGAAAACAGCCTTTTTGAATCTCCTTTAGTGATATCTGCACAATTGTATCATGACTTGGGAATAAACTTTTCTTAATATTTAACTGCCTGTTTAGTAAGCTCAGAAGCTAGCAGTGTAGATGAAAAATAGAAAGTATCCCAACTGAATACAAATATTATATAACAGCAACTAATCTGCATATTAATTAGAGGTGCAGAAATGGCAAGAGTTAGGCTTGAAATGTAGTCAGTGATGTGAGTCTGCTCCAAATGATACTTGGCAGGAGATGATTGTTCTAGTTATATTTTAATTAAGAAATAATACGGATGGGAGATTTTAGTGGATTTAACTAAGTGATATAAATGCAGAAATACAACTGTACAATTGTATTACAGACTTTAATACCTTCAGAGAATCAAATATTGAATAGATCTGTTACATCTTACTGCTCTATTCTATTGACAACCAAAAGTCAATATAGCAAAAAGAACTCTGTGGTATTTGTGTTTTGAAAATACAAAAGCTAGTTTTCAACCAAGTGAATTGTGTACTAGGAAATTTTATTTGTATAATTGTGAATAATCATGTATTTAAAATTCAGTTTGTTATCTTGACAAGAAGGTTGGGGGTTATGTAAGGAGTATGTAAACAGTAGCAGAATTTTCCAACTTTGATACTTAAAAATTCACTACCATAAAACAAACTTTTCCATTCAGCTCTTTGTTTAATGATCACTAGTTCTGTGACTTCCTATACCAAAATCCAGGTCTATGAATCTTTTTAGCAAGGTATGCATCCCTGAAATTTTAAATAGGGGTTCTGGGTACAAAAATCAAGGGCTGTGGTTTCATCCTTGCTCTGGCAATGACTTCTCTGATGACTGAGTCACTTAATCACCATCTCAGTGTCTTATCTGAGGGAAAGAAGTGATTGCATCTCCTTTACTATGAAAACCACATCGATAGTATCTTGGAATGGTTTGGGTTGGAAGGGACCTTAAAGTTCATCTAGTTCCAAGCTCCCTGCACGAGCAGACACATGTCCCACTAGACCAAGGTGCTCAAGGCCCATTCAGCCTGGTTTTGAACACTTCCACGGATGGGGCAACCACAGGTCCTCTGGGCAACCTGTTCCAGTGTCTCACAACTCTCACAGTGAAGAATTTCTTCCTTGTATCTAACCTGAACTTCCTCTGTTTAAACCCATTACCCCTTGTCCTATTGCTACAGTCCTTGATGAAGAGTCCCTCTCTGGCATCCTTATAGTCCCCTTTCAGATACTGGAAGGCTGCTATGAGGTCTTCATGCAGGATTCTCTTCTCCAGGCCTTGTATAAAAGCCCAGTGTTATGCTGAGGACCTTTCAATAGAATCTGGCACGTACAATATGAAAGACAAGCTCTAACAGTTACAAAAAGCAGACAGAATGATTGCAGCATTGTGGCGCTTAGGGGCTCTCTGCAGGCTGGGGATGGCGAGGCTGGCTATGAGCCTTGTCGCACTGCCCCAGCTAAGGAGTGGGGCAGCTTGGGCCTCAGGAAACTCCTTAGGGCTAGGCTGGGCCCAGCCTGGGACGTGAGCCTGTGAGTAAGGACAAGAATCAGGCCCAATCAGGGGAACCAGCCACGTGTTGGCTGAGCTGGTGGGTCCAGCTCAGCAGGGCCTGTGGCTGGTAGGACAGGGCTGTGGGGAGCTGGTGGCCCTGGGCTTGGCTTAAATGGCATCCTGGGCAACAGGCAGGGTGTGAGGAGACTCTGGTGAGAGCGGTGAGCGTCAGTGAGGCCTGTGGATGCCCTCAGGGCCTTGGAGATGTGTCTAGGAAAAATCCAGGTTAGGTTTCTCCTTCCTTGTTTATATTTGAAACACTGATGATGGTAATTTCTTTGGGGCTGATCTGAATAGCCCCATGAAATGAGTCACAAATTATCCCTATTTAAGCATTACCCTTCTGGAAACATCACTGTCCTAAGCATTGAGCTCGTTTCTTTAAGTGTGCCATGCAGTACTCATCTTTTGATGCTGAGTGCAAAACATCTGATTCACTGTAGCTAAATTTGCCAGGAAATGATGTCCAGTTATGCAAATACAAAGTAGCTTTTATCTTCTGTCTGGTTATTTGCTTAGGAAGTACTGAATTACTGTTGCAACTCTGAATAATTTGTTGCTGTTGATATAGCCACATTATGCACTGTGCTATAATTGCTAGTAAGAAGATAGAGCCCACATAGAGTCTAACAGAGAATAATCTGATAAGCTAATTGAGTAGCAATACTGAGATTCTCCAAAAACAACTGTTGGTCTCCGTGTTACATTTTTAGTGTTACTCTGCTATCCCTTGCTGACAGATTCAGTGTGACTACTTTGTTAGTTCAGTACTGCTCTCGGGAAATGCCCTTACGTTTATGTCCATCTGTGTCCTTTAGACAGTCTCACAGCTATGTGTTTTGACCTTGATATTAGTAACAATCACTGAACCTGTGTCAAACATCCATTGCTTGTATAATGGATATCTAAAAGGGAATTAATGGCAATTAATTTCCTGCTTAGTGACTTGTAGGCAAATAATCTATAAATAAGATGTTTCAAGCTGTTGGTCCATACAGAGTGCTTGAAGAACTAATGTAAATCTATGGGTACAGTTCAAGTGCTTAGTATTTGCCTCAGCACCGAATTTTGCTGCCTCCCCTGTGCTTGTTTAGCATAACTAATCAAGTATTCAGGAAGTCATTACTATTATGCTGTTACTGAAGACATGGGTTATGGCACAGTCTGATACTTTTCTTATAATATGTTTTAAACACTGTACAATCTAGGCTGGCTTTTCCTATCGGTTCCAGTGACTTTTTCTGTGCAGCATCCATGACTGTAGGACATGGCAGGCAGTTAGAGAGCACAACATCCTTACTGCAGCATCCATGCAAGACTGATGTGAATTCCAGTGCATGTGACTCATCAGTTAGCTTAGTGCAGCTGAGGCTTCTTTTTAATTTCTACTTCTCCATTCTACAAGAGTCACTTACTGACAGAAGAATTCCTGTGATATATTAAACACTTTCATTGAAACATTGGCTCACGGATAGTGTGGAAGCTCCCTGCAGATTCTCTATGGTGTATTTTGTTCCCTTCACACTCGATAATTATTGTCTTGTGACATTGTACTTCTCAGTGAAGGTTTGCTCAGGTAATTAATTCTAGTGATAGTAAATTAAAGTTGTACATAGATTATGTTGATACCTAGTATGAACTGGTTTGAACTAATACATCAAAAGGTTCTTTAGTGTATGTGTGAAAAACTCATTTATATGTAGCTCTAAAATTGCATACATAGCTCTTACATACATAGGGACTGTATACATGGGCTGCATACATAGGGACTGTAGTGATAAGACAAGGGATAACAGGCTCAAATTTAAACAGGGAAAGTTTAGGTTAGGTATAATGAAGAAGTTCTTTACTGTGAGGGTGGTGAGGCACTGGAATGGGTTGCCCAAGGAAGCTGTGCATGCTCCATCCCTGGCAGTGTTCAAGGCCAGGTTGGACAGAGCCTTGGGTGAGATGGTTTTGTGTGAGGTGTCCCTGCCCACGGCAGGGGGGTTGGAACTGGATGATCTTAAGGTCCTTTCCAACCCTAACTGTTCTATGATTCTGTGATTCTTTTGGCAAATATGCTTCTTATATGGAAGAAAAGTACAGCCTATTGGATGCAAATATATGTTTTTAAGATGTAATGTTAAGAGGAGTATTATTATCTAGTAGACAGTATGGAACCTGATAGAACATTTCTGTTTCTGTTATTTCTAAAGAAATGTGGCCAAGTAGGTGCTTAATTTCATCTAGCAGTAATCCAGGAAGGCTTATTTGCTTTTTTCAGGGTATTTGATAACCACAGCTGTACACTCACTTTCACTGTCAAATTGCTTAAAATTGACTAACCCAAATACTTTGCAGGAGGCCCAGAAGATCAATGGTGGTGGAGATACACAGGCAGATGGGGCCTGCAAACCAACAGATGAAAAAGAGGAGAATGTGGCAGCAGAAGTGGGATGGATGACCTCCGTGAAGGATTGGGCAGGAGTCATGATATCTGCCCAGACATTAACTGGCAGAGTACTTGTAAGTTTTCTATGATTTTTTCTACATTCTTATTTTAAAGAACCTCTTTTTAACAAACATTATATCCCAGCAGATATGGATTGGTTTGATTTTTGATTGGTTTGTTGCCTCAGTGCTAAGTCAATCCCAATTTTCTCTTGTAGAAGTAAAATAGCAGACTAATTCCCACTGCAGGAGAAAAGCAGAGACATCAAGTAAGAGAGAAGCAGAGACAGCAAGTAAGAAAAACTGACTTCCAGCCCAACCCCCAGACTATTTCAGTATTCTGGCACCATGATTATGAGCTGTGCTACAAACACCGAGTTTAGTAATTTCGTATCATGTCACAAAAGTATAGGCCTATTTTGTCCAGAAGCAAAATTGTGCTAGCAAAAATGGAAGCCAACTTGGAAAATAGGCAGTGTTTGGAATGTAGGTAGTTGTCAGAAGTGCAAAACAAAGACAAGCTAGAATTGGCTATGCAGTGGGATTTGTGGTACTTTCAATAGATTAGTAATGATTTTATGTTCTCTTTATTTTTTCTTAACTTAGGAAGTCCTTCAAACATGTGAACAATTATGTAGTAAATAGTCAGAAATTGCATATTGATAATATGTGGTTTAAATTTCCACTGAAAAAACTTTATAGTTTTCACTTAATTTGAATATGATTATTTTATAGCATTGTCAAATCATACTCAAATTGTCAAGTGTTTTCTCTGGAGTTCACTGCATTAAATGGTGTCTCCTGTGTGGTTTTGATTAGTTTCCTTGTTAGAATGCATGTACTTACAAACTAACAGCTCAAGTGATTTAAATCTGATTTGAAAGTCCTAAGAATCCCAGTGGGACTTTGAAACTAGTTTGGGTTAAACTGAAAGCAGAATTTTTGTCCTTGATTGTTTGCTTTGGGGAGGAGATACATTAGTGTTAGTCATTTCTGTTCTATACAGTAATTATTTGGGCAGAGGGAGGCAAAGGAGGGAAACCAAAAGAAGACGCACCTCCCAGTCTAGTCTTTTACACTGAAAATTTGAGGTGGCTCAATTGCTACTGTCTAGTTTAATTCTGCGAGAATATTATTTTGATTTTTTTTTCTAAAAATACCTTTTGCCCATTTCCTAATGTTAAATGTTGTTTTATCAATATCTTGAAAGCATGCTCCATTGTTACAACTGTGTGACTTCTAAGTGAAACTGACATATTTATCATCTTACGAAAAGCAACATATCGATCTTTTGCATGTTTTCCTGACATCTTCAGCACTAAAATGACAAATCTTAAAGCCACACTTCTTATTCCAATTTAAGGTTTGAAGGCTAGAAATCACCCAAACCCATAGTCCCATGCTACCAGCTTTACAATCAGAAATTGGCCTGTGTTGTTTTTACTGAGTTGTATGTGAGCACACATGCAAACAATCAAGGTCAAATCCTAAAATATTGAAGACATTTTACTGTGTATGATACTGGGAGAACTTGCACAATTCCATCTGATGATCTGGTTATTACTTTTGGGTGTGTGTTGTTTAGGTTTGTTGGTTGGTTGTTTTTTTTTTTGTTTTTCTTTTTTTTGTTTGTTTTTTTGTTTTTTTTTTTTCTTACGATTTACTCTTGCATCTTATAAGGGACTATTTTTTTTCCAGAGTTTTTGTAGAGAGCTGGCCAACATCATCAGTCAGATTATTTCTGAGAGAATATTTATATTCTTTTCAAGGTATAATAGCAGGTACTGTACACATATGGGCTCATTAGTATGGGTAACCATCTGAGAAATAAGTAGTGTATGCAGTCATTTAATTTTACTCAGTTTAGAAAAGGAGGTGCATTTATTTTAATATAGCACTCATCAGTTTCAGGGTTTGAATTGACAGGATGTAATTTTAGGAGGACCATTTCCACTATGAACCTTGACTGTTCATTTTAATTTTACTTTATGGTTATATTTGCTAAAGGATAACTGCTTCAATGAACATTTGGCTACAGAGAATATTCACATAATTTGGAGATATAAAATGTAGCTAAGTAATATTTTTGTCAAAATATGTTTTTTGAAAATACTATGACTTACTCATGAATTCTTACTAACGTAACACAGCGTGTTCCTGCCAGCTATTAGATTTCTGAATCAATGTTGAGATTTTTCATTTCTTTCTTTTTTTTTTTTTTTCTTTCCATGAAGAAGAGTGAACTGGTGGCTTTACAGGAGTATGAAATAAAAATTTCAGTGTGAGATACCTGCAGCTAAAGAAATGATAGTTATTTACACTCTGAGAATTTAAAATAAGATCAATCTTATACATCCAGGGTTTACAAAAGAAGTTTTAAAAGCGGTCTTCTGAAAATGGTGAACTCTTGGGAAATGAGTTGTAATTGACCTTCATTTCAGCATAGTTACCTGAAGGCTTTTGTGTAACTGCTTCCTGGGTTTATTTGACAAGTGCAAGAGACAAATTACCTAAGTGTTGAGCAGATATCAGTGTAAAGTAGAATTTTATTTGTGTTTTCTGCTCATGGAAAAACCTCTCATTATTTCTACCTGGACAGTAATTTGCTCCAAAGAGAATATTAGTGGAATGTCAATTGTTTGTGGAACTGAAATGGAATATTTTTTTAGACCCCTCTCTACTGAAGTCTGTCACCATATCTTTGACATGTCTGGTAAAGCTTTTATTTCTTCCCCAGTAACCTTACAAACCAAGTTCCTAATTTATCAGATCAGTTTGTCCAGATGCTTTGTGAGTGTTGGAACAAATATTTTGTATAGTTGCTGCTCCTCTGGTTACCTCTTTAGTATTTAAACTTCATGGCTACCCACAGGTAAAGAAATTAAAAGCCATCAGTATGGAAAATACAGGACAGAATTTATTTTTAGGGGTCACAGCTTCACATCTGTGTAGTTGTAGAACAAAATTGGACTTTTCCAATACCATAAGACCATTTGCCTGATTCTGTTGTAAAATCAAACATTTTTTCTTTAGACAATAGGTGCAAATCAGTAGGCAGCCTTTAAAATGCAGACTGGAAGACGATCTTCAACACTGTAGCTGTAGAACTAATCCAAAATGTAAAAGTTTTTTTTTTTTGTTTTTTTTTTTGTACTTTGAAACTAATTTTGGAAAAGATATTTTTCAAATCATGTGTTTCATTTCATCTGCTGGAAAGAAAGGGATGTTGCTTGTTATTGAAGATCTGATCATTCAACTCACTACGGATAGTTAGTGAAATTATTAAACCCATTCCCAAGAACAATAGAGGCTCTGAAATCTTCGAAACAGATGATTTCCCTCCACACTAGTTTTCTTAAAACAATTTAATTCATTGGTGGTTGTAGGAGAGGGAAGAGTTCTGTAACTGACGTAATCATCTCAGTCTCCTCTCCCATTCCATTGATAAAAGAGAAAGAATTAAGTTTAAAGTCTAAACAAAGAGAGGAGAAATTAAAACTTTCTCAAACCTTGAAATATGTTGCTTTTGACTTCAATTAAATGTTCTGTTTCAAATAAAAATTAATCAACCAATTTAAGTGTCTGAAGCTTTCTGTAAAACTTGTGAATGATGTCTGAGCATGCCAGCAATATTTGCTGTGGAAAAGAACTGCAGGCTTGTCATTTAAATTTTGGCAGTAATTTTTACATACACATGTTAGAGCTAGCTAGGTGAAGCTAGTGGTAAGGGTATTGTGCAAATTAATCTCTGTATATAGAAAAAAGTCTCACACATTCTCTGTGGAAGTGATATTGAACACTGGAAGAATCACCTGTCTCTCTGGCACAGAAGCTTGTCATACTGGTGCTCTTCTGTAAAACACAGTACTTGTTTGCACCTACTCTTTCTATTTTTTTTTGAGCACAGAAAAGTTAGTGCTGCCAGTTTCAGCTCCTTAGAGTATCTCTGTATTAGTTCTATCAGAGAACTGTTAGGAAGCAGATTTCCATTTTTTTTTTTTTTCAGTCTCTGGGAGTAATTTTAATTTGTTTCTGGGGAAGGAGCCTCATGAGAAACAAGAATGGGAAATTTACTTGCTAAATAATTAAACTATTTTGAAACCAATTTTGGAAATTTTTTCAAACCATTTGACCATCAGTTATTTTATCATGATGCCAGCTACGTGTCTCATAGCATGTAATTCTTGTCTGTTAATGGCAGCACGATGAGATCGAATAGATATTAAAGTGTCATGCACATGAAATTGTGCTAATATTACGTTCTTACTGCTTTAGGAGCTAAATTCTACACTTGACATTTCAGAATTGGTTTATGCACAAAGGAATAGTCATACTACTCAGCTCTGTCTGAAGGGCAGGCTTTGGAGGAAGATGTTTGCAGTGTGATCCAGAATGTCATTCAGTTAGAAACCCTTTTGGTTTACTGAAGTAAGGCAGAAAACTGAGCTGGCTAGGCATGGTGCATACAGTTGTGTAGTCAGAATATCCTTTTTCTCCACGTTCTTTAAGTTTTAAAAGCACGACTGGAACTTAATGCTGTTGGTGGCACAGCATTTGAAAATATGACATTTGCTTTTAAGGAACGCAGATGAAGATTTTACATACTTTTAAAAAATGTGTCCATATTAAATTGCATAAGCGTATGATTTAAGAACATGCTAATTGAACTTATGCAGTTCTGTTTGCAGCTGATGTTGAGTGGCATAAATGTAATAACAATAAAAGGAAACAATGCACTTCAAAGTAAATCTGTATTTCCCTGAACAGATTTTAAGTGTTATATAATGCTGTAGATGGTGGAAATATCAGATAAAAATTTGTAAGCTGAGTTTCTTAAAGAACTGACGTATTCACAATAAATCTGAGGAATCAGGAAATTAAAGATGTTTATGAACTGATTTTGCTTCTTGAAATAACTTTTTTTTTAAGCATTTGAGTAAGAAGAGACTTCCTTAATTAGGTGAAGTGTTTACTAGATGAGGAAGTCATATATATATATACACACACACATTGTTGAAGTTACCACAGTTCAATCTATGGATAGTCCTTTAGACTGACAAAGAAAAATCATAATT